AAACTGTTGGAGTAGAAGTGTCGGTTACATTTAACAGTTAAAGGATGAGACCTAAATGTCAATCGAGTAGAACGCTTAAACTCACGTTATCCGGGAACCAGGGGAAAAAGAGCACGTAAGAGCAGTAGTCATGAAAATATTTGTAGAAAAGAAAGAGCGAAGCCGCGTCACATCGGTGAGAAAGTGAATAAAGTCGAGATGCCAAGTCAGGATAGAATACATTGCAGATTCTTCTTTGGATTTTGTCAAGAACGTCGAGATGAGTAGCAGGAGCAACAGACTAGATATGGCAACAGTATTCAATGTACGGGTAGATTTGTAAATGTTCAAGATAGACTCTGACGAGAAAAAAACCTTCTGGCATGATACAGTGACCCAAATTTCCTTGCAGTAGATGCAGCTATTGATTCGATGTAGTTGAAAACCAAGTTCCACTTCAAGTTGGTTGAAAGTCCAAGAAGCTTTCCATGAGTGAAGCATCGTCCATGCTGATGGCGGACAGGAAAGTTTTAGCCATTTTCTTTTTTAACCACAGTGGTTACTCTGATGAGAATAGCCTCGTTACATCCAGTTTTGCCCGCATTCATCAGTTAGAAAATTTTCCAGCATTCACTGCGTTGTTGGTATGACGATAAACTACATCCAGCAGCAAGGCCTCTGATCAGAAGGTTTTGAAGAGTGTGGAACCACATTTTAATTGCTCGTGTTCCCAGGTTCACCCTGACCCGGAGTTGTGGCACCTGTTATGGTCCCAGCTTTCAGCAAATAGTTAACCCCCAAACTGGGGTCAAGACGCTATGGAAGTGTAAAAATATATTTTAATACATGCAATGCATTTTAGAAAAAAAATTATTACCAGCGATACATTTTTTGAAAAAAAAAAAATATCAGCAATAAATTTAAAAAAAATATTACCAGCAATACATTTTTGAAAAAAAAGATATTACCAGTAATACAGTTTGGGAAAAAAATATTAACAGTAATACATTTTTGAAAAAAAAATTTATCAGGAAAAAAAATATTAACAATACATTTTGGAAAAAAATTTTAAAAAAATTTTAAAAAGAAATATTATTTTTTTGAAAAAAATATATCATTAATACATTTTCAAAAATATATTTTTTGAAAAAAAAATATTATCAGCAATATTTTTAAAAAGAAATATTATCAACAATACATTTTGGAAAAAAGAATATTATCAGCAATACATTTTTTTAAAAATATTATATTATAAGCAATAGATTTTTGAAAAAAAAAAAAATATTCCCAGGAATACATTTTTGGAAAAAAAAAAATATTGCCAGCTGTACATTCTTGGAAAAAAAAATATTACCAGCAATAATAAAAAAATACTTGTCGGCACTAAATAACACATTAAGGTTGAAATGTCATAAAACAAACCAAATCAGACAAACCCAGTTTTCACCTTTCTTCTTGGAGGATTGATATTACGTAACAGTTTAGCAGTCTTTTCTTTGTTCCTAAAGAAATTTTCCTGGATTTTAGTACTTTGCTTAGTTTTTGAAAAGCATCTTTTGCGATTTCAATACGCGTTCAGATTTCAGTTTGCGGTACATTTCATGCCCCTATGAAGTTAACGGTAATGGTAATGGTAATATTATCCTTTTCCTTATAAGGAAACATTCGGCATACACTAACCGAGCAGACAGTGCTGCTGACGGTTGAATTTTTATAAAAAAGTTTCACTGAAAACATTTTTTCATGAAAATAATTTTCTCACGTTCACTAACTGTTATCGTTCTTTCTAGTATTGACGAGGGCTTCTTTCCTTGCCTTTTGTTCCGCGTATTATGGAATGTCAGCATCTTGATTGAAGAGATCGGGAATATATCCTCTTGGTAGTCGGTTCTTCGCGGGAAGAAGCTGCTCAAGTGGAACTTACATCTCACGAATGGAATACGAAAGGGTACAATGTGAGGCTTAGAACAGGGGGAACTAAGGTATGTAGTTTGTTTGAGCACTTAACTTAGGCACAAGGCCAAAGGAGTGTGAACACCCAGTGAAAATGAAAATATTGCACAGTAGTAAGGATATTTTAGACTCGCTCGGTAACCATTAAACACGCCAAGTACAAAGATTTTTTTAATGTAGTCGTGTAAAACGTTACACCCGAAGGGAAATCGATCTTTCCTGGTTACGTTATATTAAATAAACGAAACAAGGTAACAAAAAAAAAAAAAAATAAATAAATAAAATAAATAAATAGGAAATGTTTCATAAAGAAACGAATGGATGAATCACAAAAGATGACAGAACGTCAGCGCAATTGGTAAATATAAATATTGATTGACATTCTCACACCTCAAAAAATATTGATAAAAAAAATATAATTTGACGAGCAAACAATTTGGAAAAAAAAAGAGAAAAGACAAAAAAAAAAATTAAATTAAAAATGTCGAATTCCAGTCGAATCCATTACATTCACTTACGTGCTAATACCCTTATGAAAGGTATGAATCTTCTCCTCCCAGCTATGTGTAAATAACAGGACAGACCGGGTTCTATAGCCTTGGATGGCAACTGGTCTACCGCAGAAAGAAATGGCAACCTACTGCGGAAAAAAATCTGCCTCATCAGACATATATCAAAAGATATATGATCGTCTAAGAGTGTATCACGCATGGCACATATAACTGACTGATGTTAACAAAAAATAATGGTATATATGCAAAAGATAATCTCTTGGAGAATTAAAAAGAAAATACAGAAAATTCTACAAAGCTTTGAAATAGTAACGGCTCACTTAATCCAAGTCAGAACATCATATTTATAGATCGGGAACAGGGAGAAGAAAACATGGCAACTAGCAGACGTCGCGACATTTCTTAAATAGACGGCTTCACACGTAAAAAAAAAAAAATGTGGAAAACATTTTCCTGAGAATAAATTTTGTAGATTGCATTGTTTAGACATTCAAGACGGAACATTTCTCAAAATCAAAAAATATTGTTTTTTTTTATCGATTTAGAAAAGGATTTGTTTAGCATCATTTTCTTTGGTATTTCTTAAAATTTCCTCATTAATAACATGTTCTGTCCATAGTATTCTCAGCAGTTGTCGATAGAATCCTCATCCCTGCCACTACAAATTATGCTCTTCATCTGTGAAGAAATTGTCCAGCATTCACTACTATATAGGAATTTAGATATTACATTGCATTTTAGCATTTTTCTGTATCTTCAAGGTTAAAAAAGCATAATATTCAAATTTTATGAAAAAATAATTAACAAGGAATATGTGAAAATTGATAGAAAAATTATTTTAAATAGAGCATATAATATTGAATAGTATTAACTAATTAAGAAAATTAGAATACTATTAACATGAATGAAAAAGAATTCACAAAAAATATGAATGAAAAATCATGTTTAAAAATTTAGGAAAAAACACAAAACCCCATTACGATGATGCTCGCGGGTTTATACGAAGAAGAAAATAAATGCCAAAATGAAAAAAAAAGTAGGCTCCAATTTGATTTTGTCAAAATCCAGCCAGATTTAAATTGGAAACAGGTGCAATTTGATTGGATAGAGATTCTTGAGTTTTTAAACAATGCGGATAAAAAACAAAAAACAAAAAAACCCCTCTCCCTATGGAGTTCATTTTTGATCCAGGTGGAATTACTTGTTTGCTGTATAAGTGGAATAATTTTCACTGTAAAACCAGAGAGGATTAGACCACTTGGGCGAGAAAGACGTGTGGAGACTCTGATCATGGACAAGAAGAGTGCGTCAAACGAGAAAGCTGTGATCTAGGGAAAGAGGAATAAACCGCACCCTGGCGAGAAAACTGCCATTTGGGCAGAAAGGATTGGTCGTCTCTGGCGTGTAAAGGCAGTCATCTACGAAAGGATTCGACTTCTAGGTATAGAAAGCTATGACTTGGGATTATAAAAGGCTGATACAGTGACTACTGCTACTACTACTACTACTACTGTTGCTGGTGAAGAAGAAGAAGAAGAAGAAGAAGAAGAAGAAGAAGAAGAAATTATCTTCTATATTTGATATACCTATGCCTTTTCCAAACTTATGAATTTCTCTAATTCAAATGTCATTTCTAAAGCTGTGAGAGGTTATTTTATTTATATTAAAAAAAACAACTGTTAATCAGTCTTGATAGATTGTATCGCACGTGGTATTTTTTCTGCAAAGCCTGCGAGTGTCGTTTAAAATGTTCTCAGCCTCACCCAGAAAGAAGAGTCATAGCTGAACATTTTTTGTTGTGGTAATACACTACCAATTCTTATAATACTTGAAAAACTCATACAGATTTCTGTCTTAATTTCTGTGCATGTGAGATTCATACAAATGTGAGGGGTGTGCGACAAATATAAAAATGGACAAGACAGACGCCCGATCAGTCATAAAGTGTCTGCAAAAGAAGCGTGTGACTCCCAAAGAAAATCTCTGAGGACATGGAGCAGACACTTTCTGAGGACTCTCCTTTCTATGGAACAGTGAAGAGAGGGAGAGCACAGAAAATGACCATCGGTCAGGTTATCTAAAAATCTTAACCACTGATGAACGAGTTGATGCCATACACTGTGTGGCCTTGAATGACGAACGGTTTACTGTCCAGCAGAGAGCTAAGTCCATAGACTTTAGTTCTGGTTCGGTCCATACTGTTTTAACTGAGATCTTGGGGATGAGCAAGCTGTCTGCAAGAAGGGTCCCAAGAAACAGTCAGCCACCAGACAAACAGATATATATATATATATATATATATATATATATATATATATATATATATATATATTGAGAGAGAGAGAGAGAGAGAGAGAGAGAGAGAGAGAGAGAGAGAAACAGAGAGAGAGAAGGAGGGGGGTGAGAGGGAGAGGGAGAGATAGAAAGATAGATCGTCGACATACTTGTAAACGAGAGATAGGCAGATAGATAAGAAAGAAGGAAAGAAATATAGAGAAGAAAGAAAGAATGGATGAACAGCATCGTCATACTAGCAAACGAGAGAATGATGGATAGTCAGACAGATAGATAGATAGATAGATAGATAGATAGATAGATAAAGTATTGCTTAGAAACAAAGAAAGACCATTGACGAGAGATACACAAACAGACAGATAGATAGAAAGGAAGAAATAAAGTGTCGATAACCGGCAAACGATAGATAGATAGATAGATAGATAGATAGATAGATAGATAAAGTATTGCAAAGAAACAAAGAAAGATCATTGACGAGAGATACACAAACAGACAGATAGATAGAAAGGAAGAAATAAAGTGTCGATAAACGGCAAACGATAGATAGATAGATAGATAGATAGATAAAGTATTGCAAAGAAACAAAGAAAGACCATTGACGAGAGATACACAAACAGACAGATAGATAGAAAGGAAGAAATAAAGTGTCGATAAACGGCAAACGATAGATAGATAGATAGATAGATAGATAGATAGATAGATAAAGTATTGCAAAGAAACAAAGAAAGACCATTGACGAGAGATACACAAACAGACAGATAGATAGAAAGGAAGAAATAAAGTGTCGATAACCGGCAAACGATAGATAGATAGATAGATAGATAGATAGATAGATAGATAGATAGATAGATAAAGTATTGCAAAGAAACAAAGAAAGATCATTGACGAGAGATACACAAACAGACAGATAGATAGAAAGGAAGAAATAAAGTGTCGATAACCGGCAAAAGATAGATAGATAGATAGATAGATAGATAGATAGATAGATAGATAAAGTATTGCTTAGAAACAAAGAAAGACCATTGACGAGAGATACACAAACAGACAGATAGATAGAAAGGAAGAAATAAAGTGTCGATAACCGGCAAACGATAGATAGATAGATAGATAGATAGATAGATAGATAGATAGATAGATAGATAGATAAATAGAAAAGAAACAAAGAAAGATAGATAAACAAAACAGACAGATAGATAAAAGGAAGAAATAAAGTTGCAAAGAATAGATAAAGAAATGATAGATCATAGATAAAGTATTGCAAAGAAACAAAGAAAGACCATTGACGAGACAAACAGACAGATAGATAGAAAGGAAGAAATAAAGTGTCGATAAACGGCAAACGATAGATAGATAGATAGATAGATAGATAGATAGATAGATAGATAGATAGATAAAGTATTGCAAAAGAAACAAAGAAAGACCATTGACGAGAGATACACAAACAGACAGATAGATATGAAAGGAAGAAATAAAGTGTCGATAACCGGCAAACGATAGATAGATAGATAGATAGATAGATAGATAGATAGATAGATAGATAGATAGATAGATAAAGTATTGCAAAGAAACAAAGAAAGATCATTGACGAGAGATACACAAACAGACAGATAGATAGAAAGGAAGAAATAAAGTGTCGATAACCGGCAAAAGATAGATAGATAGATAGATAGATAGATAGATAATGAAATGAGAGATATAAAACGAAGGATAAAAGAAAGGAAGGAAGAAAGAAAGAAAGCAGAGTGACGCGTGTGTGTAGGAAGGAATTAAGGTTGTTCCCTAGAATTAGAGCGATTGAAACAAAGAGAATGAATGTGAAATAAAGGAAATTGATAATAAAAATGTCGGTATCTGAAAAGACCTGTTGATTAGTCACTCATTAGAATGAAAGTTTCCTTTCTAATTCACCATTGCTGTCTTTGTCGCTGTTATTTTCTCGCCAATACCAACCGTCATCATCGCTACCACCATTACTACTACTTTGACGATTTACAACTTGCACTGAAGGCTGCCTGTTCTCACCACCACAACCACCACTCCAGAAAACCGTTGCTACCACCGTCTCCTCATTAGTGCTGGCCTGTAATCAATAAAAATGGTCACTCCAATCGATGTACCGGTGCCCAGTTCCCGCCATTTTTACTTTCGTTATTTTTTCCCCCCAAAAGCTATCGTTCCATTTGTGTGTTTCTGATTTTTTAAAATCTTGTTTTCTGCCTTGATCTTGTTATTTCCCATTCAGATTTGGGGTTCTTTCTTGATTTCCATTTTCCCATGACTTCTTCTTTTTATCTGATAATTTAATTCGATTCCTCGCTTTTCTCCTTTCTTTCTTTCTTTCTTTCTTTCTTTCTTTCTTTCTTTCTTCTTTTTCTCTGGTTTTCTTTCATTCATTCATTAACTCTTTTTCTTTTCTTACTTTCTATCTTTCTTTCTTTCTTTCTTTCTTTCTTTCTTTTCCTTTGTTTCTCTGGTTTTCTTTCATTCATTCATTAACTCTTTCTTTCTTTTCCTCTTTTTCTCTGGTTTTCTTTCATTCATTCATTAACTCTTTTTCTTTCTTTCTTTTTCTCTGGTTTTCTTTCATTCATTCATTAACACTTTTTCTTTCTTAAGACAATACCTGCCTTTCCTTTCTTTCTTTCTTTCTTTTTTTCTTTCTTTCTTTCTTTCTTTCTTTCTTTCTACTATTTTTGCATCCACTCTGCTTATTTCCATCCAACTATCACTTCCGTAAACTTCTCTTTCCTCCTCTTCCTCTTCCTCCACCCTTTCTTCTTTTCTACCATTTTTCTTCGTTTGTCTATCCTCCACCCCCGTACACCCCACGTCCCTTTCCTAGACTTGTTTACGTTCCTCGTTGCTGTCGCCACTACCACCGACCAGAATTTCCCGATGCCGCAATATGGTCATTAAGTAAGGCATACAATGCTGGACATCGACGTGTCTTAATTCCTTTTTGTTTGTTTTCATTCCTTCTTTTGTTGTGGTCGGCCCCTTCATTAAGAAAATAGCGGGGGACAACAAGGAGAGACAGAATGGAATGAGCGTGCATGCCTCAACATCAATTATGCATCTATGCATGTACGTATATGCAGATTTGTGCATGTGTAAATAGTATAGCATATTTACACACTTCAATCTTAAACGCTTGCTCTTAAGTTTGCACGAACAGATAGTTTCTTTTCTGTAATTGGAAAATTGTCGTCTATCTGTATAAACACATACATGCCCTATCTATCTATCTATCTATCTATCTATCTATCTATCTATCTATCTATCTATCTATCTAATTTTGTTAGTATCTTTCTATCTCAATTTGTTCGTATCTATCTATCTATCTATCTATCTATCTATCTATCTATCTATCTAATTCTGTTCGTTTCTTTCTATCTCAATTTATTCGTATCTATCTATCTATTTATCTATCTATCTATCTCAGCCTCACCCCCAGTTTGATCATTACTCTCTTCTCATCTATCTATCTATCTATCTATCTATCTATCTATCTATCTAGCTAGCTAGCTAGCTAGCTAGCTTATTCTGTGCATTATCTATCTATCTATCTATCTATCTATCTATCTATCTATCTATCTATCTATCTATCTATCTAATTTTGTTAGTATCTTTCTATCTCAATTTGTTCGTATCTATCTATCTATCTATCTATCTATCTATCTATCTATCTATCTATCTATCTATCTTTCTATCTATCTATCTAATTCTTTTCGTTTCTTTCTATCTCAATTTATTCGTATCTATCTATCTATCTATCTATCTATCTATCTATCTATCTATCTCCGCCTCACCCCCAGTTTGATCGTTACTCTCTTCTCATCTATCTATCTATCTATCTATCTATCTAAGACAATTTGCAACATTTTTACTTTGACCTGTTTTGCCGATGTTCAAAAATATAAAAAAAAATCATTATGTTTCAGAAGAACAAATCCTACATCAGAAACGAAATTTCATTCATGTCGATCTCGATTTTTTACTTTGCGGGAACATTGTTAGTGTTATAAATGAAAATAAGATATAAAATAATGAAAATTATAAATAAAACAAAATAAAAATTTAAACCTCGTTTAAAATACAAAACAAAAAAAATCAAAATAATAAAATTACTCCCAGCATGCAACAGGGTCTGTTCCTGCCGGATATACGGACATCCCGCCAAGAGACGTGAGATTCAATCTCTTTTTGCTCAAGAATTGTCGGGATGACAACACGTGCTTAAAAACCCTCCGTGATAGAACTTGTAATATTATGGAGTGACTTACTCCGTTTCATAACATTAACCTTAACACAATTGTAATGTAAAACACGCATAGTGTAGACTCGTCCTTTTCTACCTATCACCCCTAGTAACAGAACAGTCTATACCTTACGCCTACGTACGGAAAACTTCGACCAATAAAAAACCGTACTAGGAGAATCAACAAATCTCATTGGTTAACGACACAATAATCTGAAAGTTTCACGTGCAAAACAAAATTGCGCCAAAACTTCTTTGAGCCGATTTTGGACTTTCAAAACATATAAAAGAAAACACCGACTGACCAAAAAGGGTCAGAGACGAACATCCACAGAGGAATTGCCAACATACACCACGTCACTCGAAATCACGACTTTACAGCGCAAAAGTACATCAACGCTGACTCACTTGCAATTTAAACTGGACCAACTCTGTGGACATCAAATCGCAAACCTAAAACAACTTTGCTTATCCAAAGTGAGCTATACTCACTACATTATTAAGTAAAAATCAACATTCGAACGATTTAGAAATATTACAGTCAAAGGTAGACCACTCTATAAGAACTCATTCCTAAAAACACTTAACATCGACATTTTTAATATTAATTAACACAATTCCAGAAAGACCGTAACTGAACATACAAATACAAAAAGAGACATACCGAAACCTCAAATATCACACACACTTTGCCATAGTAACATATACCAAAATATCCTGTATATATATTACTTTTAATTGTATATAAATGTTTTGTTGGTTTCTAAATTGGATATGTCTTGTTTTTGATTGTATTTAAAATTCGTTTATTTATTTGTTTGTGGATGCAGAAAGTCATGCAAACTACACAAATTCCTTCTGATTCATTTAATTACAATTAATTAATTCTGCACATCCCCAACAATAGCAAAACACAAAAATAACATTGTATGAATTTACCATACAATTTATGTTTTTTCATTGTTATTGTGTACGTTTGTTTGTTCTGTTTTTCATCGTGAAAAGAAGCCCAAACTTATAACCACATGGTGTGAGTGAACAACTTTAACTACATATGTTTTTATAGATTATGCAAAAGCATTTTATAAAGTACATCACAAAGAACTGCTCGAATTTCTAGATAACCATGACATATTTGGGAAGAATATTAGAATAATTTAGAATTTATACTGGGAGCAAAGCTCTCGCATCCGGATAAAACTGAATTCAGCAAATATACAAAAGTAGAAAAGTGTATAAGACAAACATGTGTCTTCTCAACGGACTTATCCAACCTTTACAGCGAGCGGATTCTGATAGAATTAGAAGTCATATAAGGATTCATTATAGGTGAACACACTCTCAACAACCCAAGATATGCAGATGGCACACTGTTGATAGAAGACACAAGATGAAAACTATAGGAATTGATACGAAATGTTGGAAAGGAAAGCGAGAAGAAAAAAAAATCAATTGCAAGAAGGAAGAATGAAGTGTTTCAACAGAAGACAGAATATGCGACGTCAGAATCTAAAGAATAGCGAAAGATGCTTACCAAAAGCTAAGCAAACTATTAAGAATGTCAGAAATAAAGAAAAGAGTGTTGAACAGTTATATAATATTGGTTCCCCTTTTCTGGTATTGTCTTCACAGATGGGGAAGCGGCTTTGGCAACAGAAATGTTGCTCTATATGCTGATGGATTGGACATGTGATCAACGAGAAAGTTTTAGAGAAAATGGAAACAAAAAGAACACTTATATTTAGAATCAGAAAAAGACAACTGAAATTTCTAGGGCGCATAATAAGGAAAGACGGTTTGGAGAATTTGACACTCACAAGACATACTGAAAACAATAAGGTCAATTGAAAACACTGAATAACCTACTTAACGAGTTTGTGTAAATGGCTAGCATAACAGAGATTAAGAGAGATAGAAAAAAGACATAATAAAAGTTACAAAGGACAGGCTGTTGTGGAGAGCCATAATCGCTTACATCCTGAAGTGAATCAGCACATAGAAAAAGAAGTGTAAAATTGTCGTTGCTAAGTATAATGGAAACACAAGACTAAATCTCTCACGCTTAATATTACTGTTTACTTCACTCCGTCCATCACCGTCGGTCTGTGATGGGTGTGGCCCCGGAACCCTCATCCGAACGTGTACTCGACACTCTCGGGTGGATGTCTGAGAGCATATTTCCGAGGTTGGTGTTTATATAACTATCAGCGATTCTTTCCCACGCGTGAATATCCCGGCACAGCTGGGTCGATCACGTGTTCACCTGTCGGGTTCAGTTACTAATATCTCGTGAGTTGCGGATTTCCACCTAGGCCTAAGTGGCCATCCCTCAGAAGAACTCCGAGTGCAAAGTCTGTTCTAAGGAGACGCATCCTTGTAGAAATATACTAGACTTAAATTGGTCTTGTACGGGGCCAGTTAGATGAAGAAGATTGCGAAGATTGTATTACGCCAAATTTTTATGAGAAGTCTTCATGCTCTGTAAAATCAGCATTTGAAATCCATGATTTTTACCAGATCTTGAACATTGATCATTTGAACTATTGCTTCTGTTGAGCACGCCTCTGTTACACTTAACGCACAGAGTGTGAAGAATCTTTATTTTTATTTAATCTTTACTCATTACAAGGCTCAGGAGCCACTCAAGGCACCGGGTTACTGAATGAAGGGTGTAATATAAGCGTAAGAAGAGGAAATGGGAAGGTAATGATGATATGTAAGAAAAATAACGATTGGCACTTGATTTGAAGTTAAGATTTTAGTGTTCGGGGAAGCATCTCCGTGTGAGTCTGTTCCACAAAGCGGCAGTTTTCGGGAAGAAACTGACTTAAAAAAAATACTAATGTTCACTCAATACAAGGCCCAGGAGCCACTCAAGGTAGAGGGTTACGGCGTGGTGTTGTATTAGTGTGGGTGAGAAGTGAGATTCTTGGGTTTATGCAGGAAAGATAACTGCAAACTTTGAACTTGAAGAGGTCAAGATTTTTTATAACTGGAAAAAAGAAGAGAATGAACAGATTTTAAAAGAACTAGAAACCCAATTTAAAACCGGGAACAAGGGATAAACCTCTAAATCTGGTGGTGTGAACCTGACCATAGGCGAATCTATTGAGGGAGGAAAAATAACTAGTGAATAAAATTTCAGAGTTCAGGCGGAGACATTAGAAGTATAGAGTTGGAGTAGACTTTAGAACGAACCGGAAACTCAATTTCTAATCAGGAAAAAAAAAACAAAAAAAAAAAAACATGGAAAGAGGACTTGGAAAATTTGATACTCACAGGGCAGATTGAAGGCCAGCGGGACTGAGGAAAACAACGCATATCCGACCTAGCGGGCTTGAGTAAATTGATGGCGGAACAAGGTTTAGGAGAAATAACAAAACGACAACATTCATTAAGAGCTACAAATGACTCCTATGAAGTTGTAGAGAGCCATGACCATCAATAGTCGATTGGAAAATAGAAGAATCAGAATGCCCACTCTCACCTTTTTGAGACAGTGGGCATTAACCATTTAACGAAGGCATGAACATGAGAATTTTGCCAGGTGTACCATCTACGGACAAGTGAAATCACAGTTGTCGGTCCGCGGATGGTGAGGTCTTGCTGCATACTCAACAAATCCTGAAAAGATGTCAGCCCAATTCACTTCCGAAAATCCGTATATATATATATATATATATATATATCCAATCATCCCCAAACAAGGCGATGATGCCACTAAGACGTAGGGGGATTACTGGGAGTGAAAGAGAATGAGTAGACTTTAGAAGAAACCGGAAACTCAATCCTAAACAGGAAACAAGGGATAAAGACCAGGAAGGAGTGTGAACTTCCTTTCTATCAATGGAATACGGGAGGAATGAGGCTGATTTAAACTTGTGGACATAGCAAGTATTGTCTTAGCTGTATAGGCCTGAATTGGTGGCACTAAAGATTGGAAAATGACCGTAATAAGATTGTGTTACGTCAGTAGTTCAAGCGTTGGGAATTATCTGTCTATATTTCTGAGGTGAGGTATTATGTACACTATTTACATTATTCAGACTATTGTCCTCATCTTTGTTGCCATATTTATTACAACGTTTCGACCATTGTACGCTCCGGCCTTCTTCAGGTGGTTGTAATGTCGAACTGAACCCTTTATTTCGCTCACTGGAGTAGACTGTTCTAGTTCCATGTGCCATGTCTAATGGATGTCAGTTATCTCCTGTTAATTCCCCTCTCCAAGTTCTCCACTGCCTTATCCAGGTACTGAACTCACAGTCTTTGGGTCCTGTTACTGGATCTAACTAACGCCTATATCCACCGTGTCATGTGTCCTTGATGTGCCGTTGAAATTATCATTAGAAATAAGTGAGTTAATTTTTTCTAAACTGAAGTCGAACTCCGACCTCTTTCACTGTCACAAGCATGCAGCAGATTCAAATGCTTTAGATAATAAAGAAAACTTATCTGGTCAGATGAGGATGCTTATGATTCTAGAAGCTATTTAAGCGAAACAACACCTGGTAACCAGTCAGCCTAGTTAATAACTGAAATAGTTTTATGGGTGGTAGGTAAAAATACTGTGGTCCTCTTGTTACAAAAAAGAAAAAAGAAAAAAAAAGAATGGTGTGTCGAGCAGACATTTTCTTTTAGGATGTCGACATCAGTCACCTGCACATTCCTTTCTTTCTGTTGGAATGGGATGTTGGGGGCGGGGGGGTTTGAACGTTTTTCTCTTCGTCATTGATTGCTGGGTTTTCATGTCGTTCACTCGCGAGACTATTAAAATCATCTTTGAAATCTAAGGTAAAAAGAGAGACTGAAAGATAGAGAAATAGAACGATGGAGAAGCATTTCTAGTCAGAGTGCGAGAGAAATAAAGAGTAGGAAGGAAATGGTGATATGGAGAGGAAGAGAATAAGGGTGGGGGACAGAGAGAAAAGAATAATAAAGTAGTATTTTAGTGAGGGGGGGAGAAGAGAGAGAGAGAGAGAACTCAATGGGAAAAGGATAATTATTATCTACAGCATTTGATAATGAATATTAGAGAAGCATTTTATAGAGGGTGGAGAGAGAGAGAGAGAGAGACAGAATAAAAGAGACAAGAGAGAAAATAATAATGAATGAAAAAGAATTATTTGTAGTTGGTGGAGAGAGTGAGAGTGATATAGAAAGAGGGAGAGAGTCAGAGAGAGAGAAGGAGGCAATGATGACAGTGAAAGAGAGAGAGAGAGAGCTATAGAAAAAGAGAACAGTGAAAGAGGAATAATGAATGATACAGAAACATTTTTAGTGGGTGGGCAGTGAGAGTGAGAGAGAGAGAAAGAGAGAGGGGAGGAAATGATGAGAAAGAAAAAAGAGTAAGAGAATAAGACACTAGTTTGAAAAAAATAATGAATGAAAAAGGAGTATTTGTAGTAGGTGGAGGGAGAGTGAGAGAGACAGTGTGAGTAAAAGAGTGAGAGAGTAACAGTGTGAGGAAGTGAAAGAGAGAGTAAAAGCCAAAGTTCCAATGAGAAACAAAGAAAAAAGTGGGACACTAAGAATTAACAGGAAATATAATAGGGCAAATAGAGAGAGAGATAGTGAGAGAGAGCGAGAGGGGGAGAGATGGGGAGAGCGATGAGTGAAGAAAGCAAGAAAGAGAAAGAGGGAAAGAGAGAGGAGTGAAGAAAGCAAGAAAGAGAAAGAGGGAGAGAGAATGAAAATAGGAGAGGGCGGGAGAGAGAGAAGTGAGGAAAGCAAGAAAGAGAAAGAGGGAGAGAGAATGAAAACAGGAGAGGGAGGGAGAGAGACAGAGAAGTGAGGAAAGCAAGAAAGGGAAAGAGATGATTGATTTGTTTTCTTTTTACAACTTATTGACTTTTACCGGTTATTTAAAGCCTGAAAATATTTTTAGATTTTAAGACTTTTGGTAGCTTGTAATAATTTACGAATACAAGTCCCACTAATTAATCCATAGCTGGTAGAAGGTCGTGGAAATGGAGTGGATTCATGCCTTTCTCAAGGGTATCTGCGCATAAGTGAATACAACAAACCCGACTGGAACTGGAACTCAGCTCTCCGATTAACAATTCGGTGCCGTTATCGATTACACCACCTGTACATACAAGTTTGCGGCACCTGTTATTCTCAAACGGTCACCCATCTAGGTACTGACCAAGATTAATGTTGCTTAACTTTGGTGATCGTACGAGAACCGGTGTTTCAAAGTGATATAGCCGTAAGCCGACAGGGTGGAAAAAGAAATAAAGACAGAAGAAGAAGGAGAGAGAGAGAAAGGAGAGGAAAGTAAGAAACAGAGAGAGAGAGAGAGAGAGAGAAAGAGAGGGGGAAATAAAGAAAGACAGAGTAAGAGAGAGAGAGAGAGAGAGAGAAGAGCGGAAAGTAAGCAAGAGTGAGAGATGAAAAAGAAATAAAATAGAGTAAGAGTGAGAGTAGGGGAGAAGAAAGTGAGAGAGAGAGAGAGAGAGAGGAAGGAAGATAAATAAAGATACAGTAAGAAAGATCGAGAGGAAAATAAAGATAGAGAGAGGGGAGAGGAAGGTAAGAAAGAGTGAGAGAGGAAAAGAAACAAAGACAGAGTAAGAGAGCGGCATAGAATGATTAAAATAGAGAGAAAATATAGTTGGAAGAAAAATAACAGATAAAATATTGATTAAGATGGGAATGTACCAATATGAATGAAAAGAGGGAGAGGAAAAGAGAGAGAGAAAAGACAGAAATAAAAAGGACAGTGAAGGAGAAAGAAAGAGAGAGAAAGAGAAAGAGAGAGAGAGAAAGAGAAAGAGAGAGAGAGAAGGAGAGAATTGATGGAGAATAGGATGGAATAGAATTTCTCTGGACTTTTAGGCGAAGTAGGAAAATGAATGACTGTTGATGCTACAGAAAAGGCTTGCGAAAGAGAGGGAGAGAGAAGAGAAAGAATAGAATAAGAGGGATGAAGATATGAAATGGTGGTGGGGGGGGAGAAGATAGAGAAAAAGTAAAAGAGTATCAAGAAATTAAAGGTTGAGAGAAAAAAGTGGGGAACGAAAATGTGAGATGAAAAAGAAGAGAAGAAAAAGAGAAAGTGTAAAAAGCGGTCAGCGGAAAAAAAGAAGAGAACGCTTAGTTTTGTCTGGCAAAAGGCTGTAAAAATAATGAGCCCAATCAAAATCAAATCTGTTAGCATTGGCCTGCGAGACACACTGTAAAAATCTAAAAATCGCACAAGAGCCGGTGTTCAAGAAAAGAGAACCAAAATGGAGAAAGAAACAGTGTGGAAACTGGAAAAAACAAAAAAAAACAATGAAAAGATGAATAAATTAAAAAAGGCATTGAATACACGGAAAGATATACACGAGGGAAAAGGAGAGGGAGAGAGAAAAAGAGAGAGATTAGAAGGACTGAAATGATGAAAAATAAAGAAAAAAGAAAGAAGAAGAAGAAAGAAAAGCTGGGAAAAGGAAAACGAGGAACAGTGAAAGAAAGAAAGAAAGAAAGAAAGAAAGAAAGAAAGAAAGAAAGAAAGAAAGAAAAGCTGGGACAGGGAAAACAATGAACAGTGAGAGAGAGAAAGTGCTAAAGAAAGGGTAAAAGAAAGAATCGGCTAAAGAAAGAAAGAAAGAAAGATAGAAGGAAAGAGAGAAAGAAAGAAAGTAAGAAAGAGAAAAGGAAAGAAGAAAAGAAGGAAAGAAAGAAAGGAAGGCCGAGAAAGAAATATGAACAATGAGAGAGAAAAAACTACTAAAGAAAGTGCTAAAGAAAGAAAGGTTAATGGAAAGAGAAAGACAAAAAGAAAAAGAATGAACGAACGGATGAATGAAAGAAAGAAAGAAAGAAAGAAAGAAAGAAAGAAAGAAAGAAAGAAAGAAAAGAAACCTCAAAATAAAGCGGACAGGAAATAGTGGGAATAAGAAAGTACTTAGGAGAATGTGAAAGAAAGAAAAAAAGAAAGTATTGAGAGAACCAGAGACATCGGGAGAAAGAAAAGAAGACGGCATGAAGAAGAAGAAGAAGAAAAAGAAGAAAGAGATTGTGAATGAACGTATTATATGCTTGATCGGGGATGAGTGAGTGGGTCGAGAACTAATCTTACTCCAGACACAATAAATTGTTCTGGACGAGATTGAACTCTCGCAAAACAATTTAAGAAGCTAGACAGGTGTATAAAGCTGCCTGCCAATCAATTCGGCTTTTTTTTTTTACTGAACCATCACACACACACACTCACGCACACACACGCACACACACGCGCACTTATATACGCGTGATGTGTGTGATTTAGTGTAATATCCAATATTTATACAGAGATATGAATATTCGATTTTTACAGACACACACACACGTACGCATACACATGTATTGTATATACTCTTTATATTTTTTTCTATAGAAGGGCCTCGCTTTGGGGATGCAAAATTTAAAATTATATTTCTCTGATTAATTTTTATAAGTTGTCTTTGAGAACTTAATTTTTCCAACATACGTTCCTATATATATATATATATATATATATATATATATATATATATATAGTCATCTACACATACATACATACACAAATGCACACACACACACAGACCTACTCACACACACATATATATATATATACGCGCTCGATGTGATGTGTATATATATATATCATATCGTATTGGTTTCTATAGGCAGTTATTTTTAATGCGAACTTTTCAGCATTACTAATGTACCATTAAGTACCTGGCTTCAAATTAATCACCTCAAGTCTATATCAGTCTGTTCATATCTATCTGTCTATCTATGACAGTTTGTTCATATCTATCTATCTATCTATCTATCTATCTATCTATCTATCTATCTATCTATCTATCTCTCTCTCTCTCTCTCTATATATATATATATATATATATATATATATATATATATATATATATATGTACAGTGGGGAGAAACAAATATTCGTACACATACAAATTTTTTAATTTATTGTATTTCCAACTAATGAATAAACATGCTTTTCATATAATTAACTGTACACAGATGCATAATAACTGAATATGCATAGAAAACAGATTTTTTAAATTTAATAGAAATAAATCCCATTAAACCATTTTAATGGGTGAAAAATGTATTCGTACAATACAAAAAAGAATACATAATTTTCATTTAATACTTTGTAGAATAGCCATTATTCACTTCTACAGCAACCAACCTCTTCATGTAGTTCTCAATTAATGATTTGCAAATTTTAGTTGGTATTTTATTCCATTCTTCTTTGCATATGGTCTTCAGATCCAAGATGTTTGTTGGAGCTCTCGAGTGGATTTGAATTTTCAAATAACGTCACAGATTCTCGATTGGGTTTAAATCTGGGGACTGACTTAGCTATTTCAGGATATTTACATTATTTTCAGCAAGTCATTTCTTCGTAAATTTTGCAGTGTGCTTAGGATCATTATCTTGTTAGAAGTTCCAATCAGGAGGAAGTTCAAGGTTTTTAACCGAAATCATTAAATTTGCTTCAAAAATATTTTGATATACTGAGGCGTTCATTCTATCATCTATTACTGATATGTTGCCAATACCTTTTGCAAAAAAAAAAAAAAAAAAACATCCCCAAATAATGATGCTGCCACCAGCAAATTTCAGTATTTGAATTGTGTTCTTTTGTTTCAAGGCATCGCCATCTTTCCTCCATACATGATTTCTAGAATTATGTCTAAACAACTCAATTTTGGTTTCGTCGGTCCATAATACTCTTTCCAAATATCATTTTTCCTTACGCTTATGTTCACGAATGAATTTCAACCTGGCATCTCTGTGTCTTTTCAATAGAGTTTTCCAAGGAAAGCGTGACTTTATATTGTTCCGATGAATTTCATTGCTTATTGTCCATTTAGTGACACAGATTCCTGATGAAACAAATCATTCTGCAACTCTTGACGAGTAGCAATTGGATTTTGTTTAATTTGACGCATTAATTTCCTTGAAGATCTTGAAGAAATCTTCTGTGGAGCACCTGTTCTTTTTTGTTTTTCAACTGTTTTGAGATTTTTTATACCTTGCAATGAATGAACTAATGGTAGTAAATGGAATATTCAGGTTTTCCTAAGATTTTCCTGTAACTTAGCTTCTTTCCAGAGTTTAACAATCAGTTCTTTTTGCGAATTTGTCATTTCATTGCCTCTTGCCATGATGATAACTTTCTTGCATGAATATCAATTACAGAATGTTCTGTTTGTATTTTTGAGGCTAAAAATAACTACTGATAACATTATTGGAACATTCTAGAATATTCTACTTGAATAATCTAGAGTATTAAAGCAATTTAAAAGTTTTCAAATCGGAAAGTTGCATTGTACGAATATTTTTCACCCATTAAAATGGATAAATGGGATTTATTTCTATTAAATCAATTTTTTTCTATACATATTTAGTTATTACGCACCTGTGTACAGTTAATTATATGAAAAGTATCTTTATTCATCAGTTAGAAATAGAATAAACTAGCAGCATGGCCCAGCGTTGCCCGTGCTTGATTCAAAAATCGTACGACTCATACAGCAATCGCTATCACTTGACTTAAAATATTTTTGCCATTTCTTGCCTTTAAAGGAGTGCCCTTTGCCATGCTGATGTTGCTACATGCCTTACTTCTTGCCTATCTCACACTGAGAATTTTTCCTAAGCTCTATACTAAACATTAAATCTGTTACGAAAAAAGAACTAAACAAAATAAACACAAAACGATCAGCTTTAAAAAAGAACTCGTAACTGGAAAAACCGAATGAAAAAAGAATGTTAACAACAAATACTTTTTCACATCCAACCCAGTTCTGCGGAATCAGAATCAACGTTGAGTTTAAGCAAGCGAATGAGCCAATTGAAGTAAAGTACCACGCAGATTTAAATTTTTCCCACTTGTGATGAATGCAGCTATCGATTTTTTGCATGCTAGCATGCTAGTTAGCATTCGTGTCAGTCAGCTGTTGACTCTCACGCTGGCCAATAGAATCTTCCTGCCTATTCGTGGCAGCCAGCTATAGGCTCTCACTCTGGCCAGTACAAAATGGCCGCAAACTATATGAAAACTGCCGTAGAAGCATGAAAAAATCGATTATTTCCACTATCGATGGGAGTTGGGAAATGCAAAGACAGTCTTCACAACAACTTGGAGCATGTGCATGTAAATTTTGGTGCAAGTCCGTCGAAAATTGCGGCCGTGCATTCGTTACACACACACACACACACACACACACACACACACACATCCTGCCTTTTAGAGATAGATGAAAAATTTGTATGTGTACGAATATTTATTTCACCCAATGTATATTTGAATATATATATATATATTTCATTCACTCATTCGTTCATTTCTTTCTTTCTTTCTTTCTTTCTTTCTTTCTTTCTTTCTTTCTTTCGTTTGTTCACTATCTATCTATCTATCTATCTATCTATCTATCTATCTATTCATTCATTTTCTTTCTTTCATTTTTCATTCTTTCTTTCTTTATTACTTTCTTTATTTTGTACCCTATCTGTCTGTCTGACTGTCTGTCTGTCTGTCTATCTATCTATCTATCAATCTCTCTCTCTCTCTCTCTCTCTCTCTCTCTCTCTCTCTCTCTATATATATATATATATATATATATATATATATATAGATATATATATTTCATCATTTATTCGTTCACTTTCTTTCATTCATTCTTTCTTTATTCCTTTCTTTAGTTTATTCTTTATCTCTCTCTCTCTCTCTCTCTGTCTATCTCACTCATTCATTGTCCTTCTTTCTTTCTTTCTTTATCTATCTATCTATCTATCTATCTATCTATCTATCTATCTATCACACAAAACCAAAAAACGTTACTGATATTACATTTTACTTTCACATTTGAACTTAATTTCGAATTTCTAACAGTGAAAGATCGATTGTTTTAATGAGAACTGCATTATGATACATAATGTTTATTTCATGCACTAGAATTTATGAGAAAAAAAAACCTTCTTAAAATAGCTTACCTAAGTTTAGTTGTTGTTTATACACGGCTGATAGAGAGCGTAGTTGTTTTGCACGCTATTCTCAGTTTTACTTGTTGATCTGCCCGTTAGAGATGCCATGACACATAATGTCATTCTCTTTTTTGAATTTTGATAAGATTTAGATGTTATTTAACCACCCCCTCCAGACACGGTTCGACTACGTTTTTCTTTCTTTTACATTGTCCACTCGCTTTTTCTCTTTGTTGACTTTATAGTAACGTTTCGACCGATATGTTCTTCGGCTTTCCTCTAATCTTTGCTGCATCTGAGGGTCATTCAAATTTTGCTCTAAAACATCTTAAACATTTTCAAACATCTTCACTACTGATACAGCATTGGGTGAACCTCCATGCTCTAATGGTTAACAAGTTAGCCTTTGATCTTCATCGGGAAGTTGTCCTGTACTGGGCTAACCTTAACGCGCGCACACACATATATATATATATAAAACATACATACACACACAAACACATACAAATATATATATATATATATATATATATATATATATATATATATATATATATATATATATATTCATCTTAGCAAATTGCTTTCTTTTTAATTAAAGTCGCATTTTTTTAAAATCAAACTCATGGTCAGACTCATTACGGTGAACATCTAATGAATTAAGTGTGTCGTTTTGTATAAAATCCGACGAAGTTCGAAAGAACAAAACGCTTCACACGAAAAAAAGATTTTTTCCACTTTGTCATATATTTTCCTCAAAAAAGTATATGTTGATAAACATGACTGCGGCCTCCAAAGCTTTACTCATGTCTTCCTTTCCGGTTGCCTCCCATAACAGGATTTCCCCTCCATCCTTAGCTGAGGGGTTCAGGGGTAGTTAACGACCTATCTGGTTATAAATGTCATTTTGAACGTTTCTTGAATAAACAGCCTAAAGAAAGTTCAGAAAGAAAATGGCGTCGGATGTTGCCGGGAAATTCATTCCGTTTCCCGCCCTTTATGACTAGCA